AAGATGTAGGCTGGGAGGCTAGGCCAGTCTCTCTTTTCATATTTTTCTGCCTGCTTACATTCTAGCCACACTGGCAGCTGATAAGATTGTGCCCACCAGATTAAGTATGGGTCTGCCTTTCCCAGCCCACTGACTTAAATATTAATCTCTTTTGGCATCACCCTCACAGACACACCCAGGATCAATACTTTGTATCCTTCAATCCAATCAAGTTGACACTAGTATTAACCATCAGAGTAGGTATCATATGCATTTATATTAAGCTCTTCAGTGCCAATCACAGTCCCTGGCTCTGAGTGGGTACTTATTAAATGTCAACCAACTGAGTAAATGGTTAGAAGTTGAGTAAAAGGCTTTTAATTAACTGCATTATTAAGTCAAAAGATGAAGGCAGCAAATGATAGAAGGGGAAAAAAATAAAGAGTTCTAGAATAGAAATGAAAATGATTACTTCTATGCCTGACCCTAGATTGGGAAGTCATTTAGTACTCCTGTGCCTGTTTTATTAAGTTAAACAGTTGAACAAAATTTTCTCCAATATCACTTCCATTTCCAAATTTTTTTTAAACAATGAAATGGTCATCATCCTATGTATAAATATTCACATAGAAGCCAGGCACAGTAGCTTCTGCTTGTAATCGCAGCACTTTAAAAGGTCAAGGCGGGCAGATAACTTGAGCTCTGCAGTTCAAGGCCAGCCTGGGCAACATGGCAAAACCCCATCTCTACCAAAAATACAAAATAATTAGCTGGGTATGGTGATGAGTGACTATGGTCCCAGCTATTTAGGAGGCTAAGTGGAAGGATGGCTTGAGCCTGGGAGGCGGAGGTTGCAGTGAGCCGAGATCGTGCTACTGCACTCCAACCTGGATGACAGAGTGAGACCCCATCTCAAAAAAAACAAAAAAAGAAAAAAAAAAGATTCATATCAACTAAATATGTCTTAACCAATGTTCACTGAACTCACCAGATTAATCCAAGTTTTCTATCCCCTCTAAAAAACATACCGTCTGAGCAAAGGCTCTCAAACTATAGTGGGCCTCGGAATTACCTGGAGCATTTGTTAAAACACAGATTGCTGTCCTCTCCTACTGCCCCAGAGTTACTAATTCATTATGTCTGCAGTGAGACCCAGTAATTTACAATTCTAACAAGTTCCCAGATGACACAAATGCTGCTGACCCAAACATCCACTTTAGAGAATAACTACTCCATGGTAAGCACCCACTCACCTCTTTTGCCATCATTCACTTGTCTGATTACCAAAGGTCAGGTTCCCAAACCTGTATACTCCAGCTGAAACTGTTAATTGTCTTTACACTAGATAATTATCATGTAAATGTACAGAAGGGATTCATTTTCAAATTACCTGTTGCATTTAGATGTGAGAATTCTGTGATATATTGGGAAACAGTCATAAAAATCTTGGATTTTGTACTCAAATTTCCTCCCAAGCATCTTTTTTAGTCCCACTAAAAGTAAAAATAGTAGGTGATGAACTGCATGGTGTTGAACATATCATGGGCACAAATGGACATGAGGAAATCTGGGAGTGATCGGTATGTTCATCATCTTGGTTGTGATGATCTTTTCTTGAATGCTTGTGTGTAAGATAAAATATATTAATGTCTGGTAATTTAAAATGCAACAAAAGACAGATGGATATGATAAACCACGTATAATGAAATATTAACAGAATCCAAGTGGTGAGAACATGGCTTTTCATTGTACAATTCTTTTAAGTCTTCTATATTTTAGAAAAATTTCAGAAGATGTTTGGGAATAATTAGTTTATAATCTTTGACAAAAAAATCTGCTTATAAGATAGTAGTTATTATGTGACACCATTTTTTGCTGATGTATGTTTGCGTGTGAATTTACAGAAGTATATGTGTGTATGAGAGCATATAATTATGTACGTTGCATATTCAACTGTGCCCTCTTAACCAGATCTGTCCTTCCAATTCACTTAAAAAATACTCAAGTCTTTCCTATCCCCAGACAATACAAAACAATAAAGAAACTCCCTCAAATTCTCATCTCTCTCTTCAGCTACTACTAGGTCACTTTTATTCCCTTTCAAAGCCACGTTTCTTAAAGAGGTAAATATACTTTCTGTGTCCATGTCTTCAACTACTCCATTATGGTTTGTGCCTGAAAGCTCCAGCAAAATGGTTGTTGTTCAGCATATCAATGATTTATTTTATGTCACTAAAACAAACGGACATTTTTCAATCCCCATTTCCCATAGAATGTAAAATATTAAATTCACCTACTTTTAAATTTGAAAAGAGGGAAGGAAACTTAGCTTAAAAGAAGAGTTCAATTTCAGATCATGGCCAAATTAGAATATAAAAAGGGGGAAACTTAAGGGATGAAATCAGGAAAAAGAGAAAAAAAAGAAGATAAAACTATGGCTCAAACAGTAAATGTCAATGGTCTGTTTTTATTATCAATTAATTTTACTACATTTTGAAATTCTAGTTAACACATTAATCATTCACATTTCTTCAACTGGCTTAGTCATTATATCTACAGAAGCTCTATCTATCTATAGAAGCTCTATCTTAAATATTTCACTATGAACTGTAAAATAAAGTACATTTCTTTGTAACACGGGCTTCAGAGATGAAAGCCTTCAAATATGAGAATAAAATGTGCACAAGAATTTGATTTGAATTATATTTAAGTTGCAGGGTAATGGTTCCCAAGCAGTTCACTTTTGTAGCACCCTCATGTTTCTTATTTTAAAGTTGAACATCAAAGAATGGTGTTAAGAAAAACTCTACCATAGGCAAAAACAGGAAAAGTGTATGTGAAAATAGTTATAGCAGGGCTTTAAATTAATTAATTTTCCTCTAGTACTCATTTGTAATCTTGGTCACAGATGGTACAACTGAAATACTAGGGTTTCAGTCTAAGACCTGCTACTCACCATACAGAAGGTCAATCACTGAGACAAGTATTGCCAAGGAAAAAGGCTTTAATGTGGCACTGTAGCCAAGAATCAGTCTCAAATCCATCTCCCTGACTGACTAAAATTAGGAGTTTAGTCAGTGAAGAAATGTAACAATATATGGGAAAACAGGAACATAAGAGGGCTAAGGAAGTAATCTGATGAATGAGGCCTAGTGTCTCACTGACTGGACTCTATGGTTTGGTGAGTTTCATTCTTTGATACTTTTTAAGAGGCCTGGGGGTCCTTTAGTGAGGAAGGAACTCAGATAAACAGAAGTTTCAAGCTTTAGGACCAGAAGGGGTCAATTTCTATGTTTATCTAAAAACAAACAAAAAACCAAACTGTCTATGGGACCATTGGGTCAGTTTCAATGGCGGTTTCTTGAAGGCTGCTTTCTATATTCTTGCTATCTATCCTCCACTTGCACACCAGACATGCTAAATAATTGTTTGTGGAATATAGGAAGAAAGCAAATTCACTTATTCCACAACCAATTATTTAGCATGTCCGCATGTCCAATGTACAGATCTAAAAACTATCAGCACTGCCTAAGCTTGAAGGAACATAGAGCGTGGTTAACGGTATTATGATTATTGAAAGACTTTATGTTAGCCTAGCTTTTCACACCAGACCTTTACACACAGTAGCATTATTTGGCTATTTTTTTCTTTTCTTTTTCCTCATTCTGTTATTGGTGGCTGAAATTTGACTATTTATAAATATTAAATTAGTTTTTCACTTACCTTTGAGTTCCAATAACTAATAGAGGTAATATGAAGAAGAAAATAGCTTAAACTCAATTATAAGAAAGGAAGCAGAATAACACCTTAATTACAAACTAGGCACACACACCTGAAAATCTAAATTGTTTAGTATAATGTCTAGATTCAAAACTCTTTTGATCACAAACCTCTTTGAAAATCTAAGGAAAGCTAAAGACCCTCTAGTAGGCAGATTCTGACAGGCTCCCAATAATACCCACTTCTTAATATTCCCAGTCTTGTTTAATCTCCTTCCCTTGAGTTCTGGCTGGACCTAGCAACTTGCTTCTAATGAAGAGAATATGACAAAAGTAAGGGGATATCTCTTCTGTTATTATATCACCAAAGACCATGACTTCCGTTTCACTAGTGCAGTCTCTTGACCTCTTACTTGCTTTCCTTGATGAAGCAAGCTAACTTGTGTGAGATGCCCCATGAAGAGGCCCTGGGGCAAGAAAGTAAAGGAGGCCTCCAGCCAACAGCTCACAAGAAACAGAGGCGAAGAATCCACAAGGAACTCAATCCTGCCAACAACCAAGTGGGCTAGGAAATCAATCTTCCCCAGTCAACTTGAGATGACTGCAGCCTTGCAAGAGGTAAAGCTATAACCCAGCTAGGGGACAGCTGGATTCCCAACCCGCAGAAACTGTCAGACAATACATGAGTATTGTTTTAAGCTGCTAAATGTTGGCATAATTTGTTATACAGAAACAGATAAAACAGATCCCCTCTTTAGAAAAGTACTTAAATGCACAGATTCTAGTACACATGTTGGGGAATTTGTAAGTCTCTCTAAAGTTCACAAGCAGAACTCCTAGTGACCCAGGGATTCAGATTACGAAACGTCTAACATGATAAACTTCAAACAATATGCACAAAAGGCCTGTAGGAAATCAATTTAACCACGCTATGTGGTGTACCAAACATTAGAATACTTTCCTTCCATAAAGTATTACGAAAGTTAAATGACTTCAAATATATTGTATCTTAGTACCAGCCTTTCCAAAGGTAAAAATCAAATCAAGTTGTATAAACATTATTTTTAAATAAAATATTTCATAGGTACTAAAGTACTGATGATAAAATAACTGAGTAACTGTTCTCAACTTTGAGGACTTCACTATCTGGTTGGTGAGACAAACACAAACATACACACAAACACACAAAATAGCTACCATAACAGTTAACAGAACAAATAGAGATGTACGTATAGTATCCTCTCATGTACACAGTAAAGTGACTTTACTGAATTTTAATTGTGATGTAATTAAAATAAATACCTGTACTGTTTTTCCAAGCCCCATGTCATCACCAAGAATGCACCCTCTTCCATGGATGTAGTGTCCATAAAGAAACTGGGCTCCTTCTCTTTGGTAATCTCTCAAATACCTATTGATGGTATAAGGAATAGAGTCTCCATCATCAGATAATTTAAAAGCAATAGGAGACGACGGAAATTTTCGGTTTGGAAAATAAGGTTTTTCCAAATCTTCATCATCAAATATAAGATTCCTGGGGCAATCTTTAACAAATTTTACTTCCTGTAGCTGTTTAAGAGGTATTTTCCTTTCTTGAAAATCTGAATATAAGATGACTGCAAATGGTTTGCCATTTTCATCCACTGTGATAGATTTTATGCTTGCTTCACAAAGTTTTCCATTATCTGGAGAAGGGGCCAGACATCTTTCTCCTGGATGCCATATGTCTGCAATAATAAAAGAGAAAATAAAGTTTCCAAAGCTAGCTTATAAAGACACTTCATTTATCCACAGCTATGAGACAAAATATATACCTCACATAAATCCCTTTTCCAAAAAACCTGCAATGAGATAAATTATAACATATGTTTTTCTAAAATATATTTTCAGATATTCTCCTACAATAAACAGAATAAAGGGTACATAATTTATTTCCAGTGGTTCTTACTCTGGCTGTGTGTCATCATCTACCCTGGTGTTTAAAAATATACATTCTTAGACACCACCTCTGGTGATCCTTATTCAGTGGATATGCATCATGGGCATCTGGTTTTATTGTTTTGTTTGGTTGCTACTGTTGAATTCAAAAGATAATTCTGATGCATAGCCAGGGTTGAGAACTACCAACTCAAATATTCTTGCTGTCATTAATACACACACACACACACATTTCATGATACGGTAGAGTAATCGTGAATAGGACTTGGCAACGAGTAAAGTAAAATCCTCTGGACAGCAATGCTTTGTGGTTCATCTGTCTGCTCTTTACAGTTATTCCATCACCTTTCTCTAGAAACAGCTGTTTCTTTTCACTGTCAATATTGCTGCTTCTAAACCTTTGACCACTGCTTGTATACAGCTAACCATAGGAACCTCCAATTCAACTACAGTGAGGTCACAGCTTTTTCTCTTCTGAGTTTTGAGTAATAATTTTTAGAGATTAATTCTAAGATCTCTTTCTGCCAAGATCCTATTATACTTTAAAGAGCATGACCTATCTCCTGAACTTATTATGTGCTTAACTGTACAGCTATCTATTTTATTTTCTCAGAAAATATAGCATTATGCATGAGGAGGGAGTCTATTGAGTATACTACTGGTACAATTACAAAGTATCAAATAAAGAAAACTAAGGAAAAACAATTTTCCAAATGGAATTTCTTATGGCAAGAATCCAAAAATAATTCTATGGCTACAAATATAAGAACACCAGGAATTATTTTTCTTATACATTTCTCACTGAGATCAGATGACCACTGGCAGTTTCCTAGGGTCTTCCTGATGACCTCGAGTTAGATTTTTATAACATTCATGATTACCATATGACATGTTTATACTATCTTAAGCAAGAATAGCTCACTATATGCCTCATCCATCAGTTGTTCCTCAAAAGTAAAGTCACTAACTTTGATGAGATTATTTTACCATAACAATAATGAGTACACAGGGAAAAACCTTCTCTGACACTCTAATCTGTGGAACCAAATTGTTTGACAACTGTTAGACCATTCTAAAAGAGTGTTTTGATGTGAAACTAAAGCCTTGATCCACTACACAAGTAAAACAGTAGGTCAATGGGCCCTATTTTCACAACAGTAGTATTTGTACTTTAAAATCTAAAGCAACCTTTACAGCAATTCTTGCTACTTCTGTTTCACATTATCTGTTTCTACCCAGCAAATGCTGTATTGCTTTATAAGACTTATTTTTTATCTATTATTCAACATATGTGATTTAAGCACAAATTATATTACACCACACAATGGGTATAAAATGAAGAAAACCAATATAAAAAATGATGGTAATAGTCTTCCTGCATCTCATTAATTGGCATCATCATCTAACCAACTTTTCAAGGTAGAAAACCATTAGTCAGCCCTTAATCCTCATGCAATATTACTCCTTACATCCAATCCATCAGAATGTCATGGTTCTGCTTCAAAAATAAATGACTTTCCTCCATGCCACCATCTCTCTAAAGCAAAGGCTGGCGAGCGTTTTCTGTAGAGTCAGTTATTAGCTATTTGTTACTTTAGATTTTGTAGGCCATACATTCTCTTGCCCTTGTAACGCACAAGCAACCAGACAATACACGAACAAATGGGCACATATGTATTCCAATAAAACTTTATTCACAAAAAGAATTGTCAGACCAGATTTAGCCTACAGGCAGTAGTTCACTGACCTCTGCCTTAAAGCATGCCACCACCAACTTTCCCTAAATTGTTCCTAACTAGTCCGTCTCTCTGTTCCCAGTCCACCTATTTAGAGTAGGGTACCCCATTATTCTCTATCTCATAATTTTATTGACTCTGTAGCACTTATCATAACATTTAATTATCATGTCCACTTGTTTTTGTCTTTTTCTTCCACCAGAGAGTAATTTCCATTCCAAGAAATTCTGTACTGTTATAAATTTTATCCCCAGGATCAACACAGAGCCACACAGCAGACATTCAATAAAGATGTGATGAATGTATTCCACATTCTTTTTTTTTTTTTTTCTTGAGACGCAGTTTCGCTGTTGTTACCCAGGCTGGAGTGCAATGGCGCAATCTTGGCTCACCGCAACCTCCGCTTCCTGGGTTCAGGCAATTCTCCTGCCTCAGCCTCCCGAGTAGCTGGGATTACAGGCATCCGCCACCACGCCCAGCTAATTTTTTGTATTTTTAGTAGAGACGGGGTTTCACCATGTTGACCAGGATGGTCTCGATATCTTGACTTCGTGATCCACCCGCCTCGACCTCCCAAAGTGCTGGGATTACAGGCGTGAGCCACTGCGCCCGGCCCACATTCTTTTTTTTCAAGACAAGAATCCGTCGCCCAGGCTGGAGTACAGTGGCACAATCATAGCTCACTGTAAACTCCAACTCCTGAGCTCAGCAATCCTCCCGTCACAGCCTCCTCAGTAGCTGGGACTACAGGTGTACACCACCATGCCTGGCTACATTTTTTATTTTTAGTAGACACAGGGTCTCGCTTATGTTGCCCAGGCTGGCCTCCAACTATCCTCCCACCTCAACTTCCCAAAGTATTGGGATTACAGGTGTGAGCCACTGCACCTGGCCTATTACAAGTTATTGATCTCACAGATCCTTGATATTTTGCGAGAGAGAAAACTAAAAGGTACATAAACATATACATAACTGTAAAAAGTGCATTGGAAGAGAAGAGTGTTATGAGAAGGGAGTACTGAGAAATGTTAATTTAAAAGGGAAGAGAGTCTAAGAACTGTATCTCAGGTTAAGTGTATAGCATGTGCCAAAAAAAAAAGCCTTAAGAGAATCACACAACTTATTGGAATATCTTTGGTTTCTGAGTCTGGATAATTTCTAGAATGAAATAAATTCAGTTAAGTTTGAGTCAGGAATGAAATCTCTCAGTATCCAAACTCCAGAACAATTGTTTAAGTTGGGAGGATTTCCTATTCGATTTAACAGGGAAATGGGGTTAAGTCTCCTATAATTTGATGAGTCTCCAAATCATTTGTTTTGGTTTAAAATAATTACCAATTCAACTCATTCTGGTGATAGGATCTCGCTCTCCCTCTCACTCCAATGGCTTCCTTGCTATTCCTCAAGCATGTTCCCTCCCCTGGAGCTTTCTGCTCCTTCCACCAATACAATTTTCCTAAATACCAGAGAGATTAGATTTAACAGAAGGAATGAGCGTCCCAGTGACCATAACATCCACTAGCAGCTTCATTTATTTATTTTTACTTGCCAGGCTCGTATAGGTATTTATATGTGTGGTCCCTGAATTACAGCGTCATCAATTCCTAGACCTCAGAATTCAGGCTTGTTACTTGCCCTCTCCGAGCTTTAGGTCTGAATTCCTCATCTATTTAATGAGATCGGTATCTTCCTCAAAGGAAAGCAAGTAAACATCAGCATATTGCTGGACTCAGAAAAAAAATCACTCAATACGTGGTAGCTTTTGTTATACAGCACTATTATTAATGGAAGCCCTTCATTTGGGTGCCAGAAGGCATCCCAGATGACTTGTGGCAGATAACCGCACCTTCTTTAAAACCCCTCTTGGTGACCCATTTAAGGCATAATGTCCAGACTTAATATGCAATAAAACTCAACAAAATATCTCAACTTTCATTTATTTATGTACTTACAACAAACTTCTGCCATTCACTAACAACTGGGACTTACAAGAATGAAAATATTTAACGTTTCCTGAGTGCTTAATACGGGCCAGACGCGGGGTCTCAAAAGTGCTTTGCCTATTCCCCACGTCATTTAATAATCACAAGAACCTAGTAATGAACCCAATTTTATAGATGAGGAACCTGCCCAAAGTTGCTCAGCAAGTACTGTCAGAGTCAACACTAGATCCCAGAGGCTGACTCCCGAGTTCAGGTTCTCAACACTGAATCGCAGACTTGGTACCAATCCTGGAAGGATTCACAATCTGCAGCTGTCACTGAAGAGGAGCTACAGGGCAAAACCTTAACACGAAGGGCACCGCCAAGAACTGGTCCAACACGACGCAGTACACAAGCGTCTGGGAAGGGGCGAGCGCGCAGCTGGTACCTTTGAGGGCGATTTCCGCGCGGGGCTGCGGCGCCGAGGGATCCATCCGGCCAAGGGGAGGGGCCGAGCCCGGCTGCACGTAACACCCGGAAGACTGCGGAGGACTGAGAGGTGCCCGGCCGGCGGGCCAATGGCGGCCAACGCCACTTCCGGCCGCCCTCCGAGCATCGCTCTCCAGCAACCCAAAGCCAGGCGATGGGGGGGAGGGCGAGCCCAGCAAAGGTGGCGACTGAGGGGACCCAAGGAGAAGAGGAGGGCGACGTCCGGAGCGTCAGCAGAGCCAGGGAACGCTGTGTGAGGCTGGCAAGGCGGCGTTCACCTAGTCCTTTCGCGCTCCACCGCCGTCGGTGGAGGACAGGAGGCGGGAACGGCGGCCCCCAAACCTCCTTCTCAGGCTCTGGCCTCCCTCTGCTAACCCCTGCAACATCCAACCCGGTCTTGGAAAATCCCGCGAGAACGGGCTCCCGAATTGTGATTGGGTTCTCGCGAGAAAGAAATCTTCCTTTCCGTGGGCGGAGCAATCTTCCCTACGTCTCTCCCCTAGGAGGCCTGTAGCAGGAAGGTCCGCGGGAGTTGCTAGTGTCGCGAGGTTTGAGGTCGCTGGATTGGCCGGGCGCTGAGCAACGCAGGAAAGAAGTGGGGAGCTTGGGGGTGCTGTGGCTGTAAAGGGCAGCCGAGGCGCTGGAGGCCTGGCTGAGGGCGTCCCCTAGGTCGCGGCTTCTGACCTCTCTCAGTGCAGCTTGGTTCTTCCGTGGTGGTGCCACACCCCAGGAACTTCAGGAGCTGCCCACGGGCCAACCACGGGGGCCAAGTGAAATTAGCGCGTTTTCTTGGATCTTACACTTTATAGTGTATCATAAATACTTTAAATTCAAAGCCAACAGCATTTGCTGCAAATAAACGTAAAAATACTGTTAAAGTGTAAAGTGTTTTCCTGTGTACCATCTGACGTTTCCAGCGGTTCGTTGAACGCGGGAGAGCACGAAACTATGCACCGTGTGCCTTGGGAGCATATTCAGGGCAGCGCCGCCCACCTGTGAAGTGAAATACGCGGCCTTTGACACTCCCGCGCAGCACAGATGGACAGATCCATAAGTGGCTCTCGTACATGTTAAAATGCTTTTGTAAACTACCTATATCATGGATTTAGTGAAATACCTGACGGGGCCTGTATGCGTTCTCTATTGCCACAGTAACCAACGACCACAAAGTGTGGCTTGAAGCAGCACAATGTATCATCTTACAGACACATTTATTATCTTGCAGTTCTGTAGGTCGGAAGTACTACCTGGGTGTCACCCGGGCTGCATTCCTTTCCGGAGACTCCACAGGACAATGTTTTCCTTGCCCTTACCAGCTTCTGTCAACTTTCCTTGGCTTTGGTCCCTTCCTCCATCTTCAAAGCCAGTGATGTGCCATCTCTCTGACCCTTCCATCCTCAAGTCTACCGCTGATGCAGGTGGGAAATATTCTGAGGGCTCGCCTGAGTAATCCAGGATCATCTTCGCATTTCCAGGTCTCTGCCCTTAATCACATTAGCAGAATCCTTTTTGCCATGTAAACGAATATATTCAGGAGTTCCAGAGATTAGGAGATAAATATCTTTGGGGGATCATTAGTTTGCCTATTTTAAGAAAACAACATGGCTGCTTGTTCTGCAAATAGATGTCAATTCTTTGGCAGATTCTAAAAATTAGTAGTATGCTGTTTTATAAAATGCTTTATAATATCACTTGTTTGCTTACCAGTAGGTAATAACTTTAAGCCGAAGTGAAACATCTAACTCAGCCATCTATGTGTGAGATGTTGGCCAGATCACTTCTCTGTATTTTATTGTCCTCACCTATCACCATAACAGTGTGCCTAATATGGTCAACTACCTAAAAAGGGTAACTGTAAAAAAGAAAATAATTAAGTAAAACTCCTAAAACAGTGGCTGGTCATAGTAAGGCATATATGTGTTGCTATTGCTATTATTATCTATGGAATGTATCCACTTGAAAGTTGCATTTACATGGCCATTATGTCAGTTTAATATTTTGGCTAATAGGCCGGGCACAGTGGCTCTCGCCTGTAATCCCAGCATTTGGTAGGCTGAGGCAGGCGGATCACGAGGTCAGGAGATGGAGACCATCCTGGCCAACACAGTGAAACCCCATCTCTACTAAAAATACAAAAATTAGCTGAACACGGTAGCACACACCTGTAGTCCCAGCTACTTGGGAGGCTGAGGTAGGAGAATCGCTTCAATCCTGGAGGCAGAGGTTGCAGTGAGCTGAGACTGCACCACTGCACTCCAGCCTGGTGACAGAGCAAGACTCCGTCTCAAAAAAAAAAAAGTGGCTAATAGTTGGTAGTACATTATTACTTAAATTAGAAATTTGAACTAGATTTTAACTTAAAACACTACAGGTATTAATACATATTTTATACAGCTAAGAAAAGAAAAAACACTACTAATTATAATTGTAATTGATTGATTCTACCATATCTTGAGTCTAACATACACCCTGATATTGGAAATCTTAAAATCTAGAAAAATCTGCTTCTTGGTATTGATGGATTCTATCTCTTTTCACATTGTTTCTAAAATCAAAATGGCAGATAGAAATTTTAATCAAGCTTATTTTTTTTTTACCCTACAACTACCGGGAAAACAGTTTAATTTTTTTCCCCCTCTGAAATGACTAGTTGTGTAATTTTGTCTTATTTTTCAGGAGTCCATTGAGTTAAGATGTAACCTCTTGACAGAGCTGACCGCGAACTAAAAGTGATAAGCAAATTCAGAACTAAATTTTGATTTAAATGGAAGGTATCATCTGGTTGAAGGAATACCTTTGTGACTAACAAAAGAAGGGGATACCTGATTTTCTGAGTGTTCATTTTTAACCTCACTGCTGTACTTAAAATGTATACTGGAGCAGAAATAATCATGACATGAAAGTATGTCCTAATGAACTAGTTGCCTCATAAAATTAGGCATCCTCAAGTATTCCTTCCCCCACCTAATAATAGTAGCTTGTGTTTTTGCATTGACATCATGGTCTAGGTGCTGATACTGTGAACATCTAAGACTCTAAGTCCTGTAACTGCAAACTCAAATTGAATATCCTGTAAAATATGCAGGAATTCCTGGAGTTAATATTTCTCATGTTGAATAAATCACATGAATGAATTGATTCATGTGAGGATCTAGCAAAATGAAGCCAATTAAAACTACAAAAGAGAAAAAATAACACAGATAACCCAGCCATTTCAAAAGAGGCTCATGGAAGGATGATTAAACCCACCAATATTTTGCCAAAAAGTCGTCTCTTTTTATGTTCACACTGCAAAAGTCAAATATATACCTGTATGTGGTTGACACATTTCCAGAATTGTGAGTTAATCTAGCAAAAAGGCCCCAGGGGGAAAAAAAGATATGAAACACTAAGACAACACAAGAAATTAAGTCTGAGTTTTAGTTAGATGATTTTAGGTTGCAGCATTTCTCCCTTCATACATTGTTCCAGCCAATGGAAAAAAAAAAAAAAGAAGGAAGAAAAGATGAGTGAAGGCAAGAGAAAGGACATAAAATAGATCTGTCATTTCTTGCCATGAATAACCTAAATCTTAAAGTTTAAAACTCAATGTCTCACAACAATGTAAGCATAGTTAACATTATTGAACAGTATACTTAAAAATGGCTGAAGAAGTTACATTTTATATTATGTGTTCTTTCTTATCACAATTTAAAAAGCAAAACACAAGAAAAAAAGCTCAGCCAAAGAAAGAAAACTTAGAGCCTTGAGCAAGGTATAGTGAAAGATACATAGAGTCAGTGTTAGAAATATGTCATTGTCCCATGTAATGAATATTATTATTATTACACCTTGAATAATCACCAACACCAGTTTTGCTTCATAAACTCAATAAATAATAGAACTTAAAGTCTTATGATCACTTGATCTAAGTGTTCTAATTTAAAGGTAATGAAATAGCTTGAGAAATGTTAGACTATTTACCCAAATAAAAAAGTTAGGACTGGAACACAATTCCTGACTCTCATTCCAGTGTGACAGAACTATAAAATACCACTGCACAGGAGAGACTTTTAAATTTGAAAAATTAGAATTTAAGATTGTATTTCATGGAATATTTAATACCTCATGTGAGATAAGTATAAAAATTCTGCAACAAAACACCAAGAACTACTGGTTGAAAAACATTTATAAAAACTCTCAAATGAAAAAAGGAATGCTTATACACTGTTGATGAGAATGTAAATTAGCACAACCTCTATGGAAAACAGTATGAAGATTTCTCAAAAACTAAAAATAGAATTACCATTTGATGCAGGAATCCCACTACTGAGTATCTACCCAAAGGAAAAGAAATTGTTATATCAAAAAGACACCCACACTTGTATGTTATAACAGTAAAGTTCACAATAACAATGTCTATCAAGTGGAATCAATCTAAGTGTCTATCAAGAGATGACTGGATAAAGAAAATGTGGTATGTTAACACCAGGGAATACATTGCATCCATAAAAGAAGGAATAAAATCATGTCTTTTGCAGCAACATGGTTGGAGCTGGAGGCCATTATCTTAAGTGAAATGACTCAGAAACAGAAAATTAAATACCATGTGTTCTCACTTAGAAGAGGGAGCTAAACAATAGGTACATATGGACGTGCAGAAGGAAATAATAGACACAGAGGACTCCAAAAGTGGGTAGGATGGGAGAGTGGTGAGGGTTAAAAAGTTACCTCTATTGGGTACAATGTCTACTCTTCGGATGATGGGTGGACTAGAAGCCCAAACCTCACCATTATACAATATACCCATGTGACAAACCTGTACTGTACCCCCTGAATCTATAAAAATTTAAAAAATAAAGTCTCAAAATGCATAGCTGAGCTTTCAAAAAAGTATGTGAAATACTCGTAGACCAAAAATAAGGAAGAAGTTGAAAACTAGCTTATTAAGATGACACTTATACCACTCCTTTCCTGGACACATTTGTTTGACTCAGTTACACAAAGGTCTGAATTTTAACAGTCTTGTGAGAGCAGAAGACATGGTCTCAAGTTCCCACAAGGTCCCACATTGAAACTGAGACTCTCATTTGAAATCAGAAAGCTTGAAATGTAACCTCCTTAGTGAAATGGTGAGCTATAAGAAAAAAATCTGGACAGCAGAAAAGGAGGAGGATGGAGAGGGATTTGTCTGTCTTTGCGTGAGATTTTTGAAGGGGTTTTGTTATTTCCTCTGAAATTTTGAAACCACAGTTATGCCCTCAAACAAATTTAGGATTTGAATGTCTACAATCTGCACGACCTAGGGAACCCCAAGCCAGGATAATAGCATAATGTAGTGCCTGATTAATTGCATCTAGGTTGCTAGAAAGAAGTAGGCACATCCTTTCTGGAGGGAAACGTTAAAACAAGTACTCCTCAGAATTTCTGTAGATAAAGTCCCAGCTAACAATTCACAACCCTAAAGCTGCAAAACATATGCAGAAACAAGCCATCATGAACAAGGGCCAGCAGAGAAAGCATACAACAGAAATAGAGTTTTAGTAATTTCAGCGAATAGAAGCAATTGATAGAAGGGGTTTTTTAAAGTGTGGTTAAAATACATGTTGATATTTTTAAAAACTGAACTGAAAACTTAAGAAAGGAAGCAGAAGACACTGTAAAAACAGATTTTTTTTCAAAAGAACCAGAACTTCTGAAAATAAAAGTTTTAATTATTAAAATGGAAAGCTCGATGTTAACTTAAAGAGAAAGTTCAACATACCCTACTAGAGAATTTACAAACTGAAAGATCTGAATAAAGAACCACAAATGCAAGACAGAAAAGTTAAGTAGAAAATACAAGACAAAGGTAGAAAGAAACGGAGTCTAGGGGGCAAAAACAAGCAAAAGATAGCTCAAAATATTCGTATCAAACAAAACAAGCTTTAATGCAAGAAGCTTTAGGGACAAATAAATTATGTAAAATGATAAATTGCATTTTTTTAAACCAAGGAGGTAAAAATATTCCCCACCTAGGATCATCTACTAACTGTCTTAAAATATATATAAAAGGTATAAGAATTTCAAGAGGAAACTGGTAAGTCCACAAACATGGTAAGAATGTTTAATACATTTCACTAGTAATTATCAGATTAAAAAGAAAGTAGATTTGAACCACACAATTAACAATCTTGATCTAATAGACATATATAGCGTACACCATCCTATCATCAGAATTAACATTTTTGCAAACACATGGGGAACATTTACAAAAACTAATGATGAATTATGTCACAAAGCAAGTCTCAACAGCTTTCCAGAAATATGCTTTATACAAATTATGTTCTGTGATCACATTAATTAAGGTAGAAATTGGTATGTAAGATTAAAGAAGATATAGTCAGAAATGTAGAAACATGTATTCCTTTTTTTTGAGATGAAGTTTCACTCTTGTTGCCCAGGCTGGAGTGCAAAGGCACAATCTCAGCTCATTGTAACCTCTGCCTCCCGGGTTCAAGTGATTCTCCTGCCTCAGCCTCCCGAATAGCTGGGACTACAGGCATGCACTACCACATCTAGCTAATTTTGTATTTTTAGTAGAGACAGAGTTTCTCCATGTTGGTCAGGCTGGTCTTGAATTCCCAACCTCAGGTGATCTGCCTGCCTCAGCCTCCCAAAGTGCTGGGATTACAGACATAAGCCACTGTGCCTGGCCCTTAGAAACACATTTCTAGAAAACTTATGAGCCAGAGAAAAAATCATGATGAAGATTAGAAAGTAAATATGCAACAGAGCTGAAAAATGGAATGTGTTTAGATTGTTTCAGCTGAAGTCCTAAAATGACAAAGCCCATATTTTGCTGTAAGATAATATTCCATGTAAGATTTCCAAAGGAAGTCATCAACACCGATTTTATTATCCTAATTCCTCACCTACATCTAAAATATAAAAAGATTGGGAATGGGAGATTAGAGGGAGAGAAGATGTTTTTGACAGAGCAATTACAGTACTAAGTCTTTCCTCCAGATAAACAAAAGGGTTTCAGAGGGTTCATGATCTGGAAATTTTGATACGCATTCCCTAGAATTTGTGGGATATTGTCAACTATTTGACTCAAACTTTAGAAATCTGAAGGAGAAGTACTATGGATGGCTAACTGCTCTGTAGTTTAACAGGAAAGATTCACATATTTGGGGCCACCTTACTCCCAGAGTTTACTGTTAGGAAAGGATGCACATTTCCTCTGGAGCAAATGTAGGTCACAGGTAAGTGAAAGCCAGTGGAAGTTTCAAGATGACCCCAGGAGGGGATCTGAACAGCTGGACGCCTAAGGGTAAAGTAGTGACTTTGAAGAACACAGAGAAGCTCCCAAGAGAGAAGGACACCCATGGAGAACCTATGTAATCTCATGCTGGTTAAGTAAGACCTTTCCTGTCACCCCCCCACCCCGCGCCGCCTTTTTTTTTAGACAGAGTTTGCTCTGTCGCCCAGGCTGAAGTGCAGTGGCACAATCTTAGCCCACTGCAACCTCTGCTTCCCGGTTCAAGCAATTCTCCTGCCTCTGCCTCCTGAGCAGCTAGGACTACAGGCACACGCCACCACGTCTGGCTAATTTTTGTATTTTTAGTGGAGACCGGTTTCACCATGTTGTCCAGGCTGGTCTTGAACTCCTGACCTCAAGTAATCTACTTGCCTCAGCCTCCCAAAGTGCTGGGATTACAGGAGTGAGCCGCTGCACCTGGCCCCTGTTCCTTATTTTATCTCTTTTCCCAAATCAACCCTAAAGAAGTCAGAAGCAACTTAGAAAGTAGGAGAGGAAGGTGAGGCATAAATCATATGAAAGAAGCAATCACCTCCACATTTTCCCCTCCAAACCACTTGTCTGTACCAATTGTGAGCTAGTCTTTAAGGTTGAATGAGTGTTGAAGTCTTAATATTTTTTTTATCACCTTGGACTTATTTATTACCAAACTGACTTTTTGTTTGTCTCTTTTTAGTGGCTAGAAGTGACCACAGGGTTTTTCTATTATCAAGGAAGACTAAAAGAATCATGAGACTTTTCCTAGTTTCCTTTCAAGAATATGAAGAAAAAATAGCTCTCAATGTGGGTTTGAATGAATATTGTTCAAATAAATGAACTTATATTCATATTTCATCCCCTGAGTCCTGCTGTTTCAACATCCATTAGAAATGAATAATACTACTACATATCAAAGTTTGTAGGAAATTGCTAAAGTGTAAAAAATACTTACATTGAAAAAGAAGAAAAGCTGAAAATTTATGATCTGTGCTTCCAACTTAACTTTTAAAAAGAACAACAAACTAATCCTAAGGAAACTAGAATAAAAGGAATAAATTAAAAACAGAAGTTAAGGGTAAGAAGAAACACAACAAAGCCAAAAGTTGATTCTTTGAAACAATTAATGAAGTAGGCAAAGCACTGTGAAATATAGAAAAATAGAGAAAAGACTCAAATGAACATTAGAAATGAAAAATAGAGCAATGCTAAAGAGAATTCAAAAATTAGGAAAATTATAGGAGTATTCTAAAAACGATTTCATGCCAAAGTGTTTAACTGTATATTGCCCCACGCCAAAATGTTTAACTGTATATTGCCTTAAAAATATATTAAAAGGGGGCTGGTCGTGGTGGCTCACACCTGTAATCCCAGCACTTTGGGAAGCCAAAGCGGGATGATCATGAGGTCAGGAGATGGAGACTATCCTGGCTAATACGGTGAAACTCCATCTCTACTGAAAATACAAAACATTGGCTGGGTGTGGTGACATGTGCCTGTAGTCCCAGCTACTCAGGAGGCTGAGGCAGGAGAATCGCTTGAACCTGGGAGTCAGAGGTTGCAGTGAGCCGAGATCATGCCACTGCACTCCAGCCTGGGCAACAGAATGAGACTAGGTATATGTATATCAAAAAGGAAGAGAAGCACTGAAGAAATCTGTAACTGCTGGAGAAACTTGAATCAGTAGTTGATAATGTCTCTCCAAGAAAAGACCAGATATAAGTGACTACATGAAAGTTCTGCCAAATGTCAAAGGGAATAGATAAATCAAATAGCACATAAACTCTTCCAGAGAATACAAGAAAAGGAATACTCCCCAGCTTATTTTATAAACTTGGTTAAATCTTGATAGCAAAATCTAATAAGGATACCATGACAAATAAAATTATAAGTAAATTTTACTTACGGTTATATGCAAAAATTCTAAACAAAATACTGGACAACTGAATCTAATTTTGAATAATACTAGCAATAATAATAACAATAATAATGCATCATGACCAAGTTGGGTTTATTTCAGGAATGCAAACATAGTTTAAAACTGGAAAATCTAATAGTGAAATTACCACACTAACAAAGAAAAATTATGTCGTCTCAACAGACAGAAAAATTTTCTAAACTTCAACCAAATATTAGCAAAAAAGTAATTGAAAGAAAATTCCTTAACTTAATAAAGAGTATCTATTTCAAACCTGCAGCAATCATCATAGTTAATGATGAAATGTTAGACACTGTCTTTTTTTCTTATTTGTACTTTAGGTTCTGGGGTACATGTGCAGATCTTGCAGGATTGTTGCATAGGTACACACATGCCATGGTGGTTTGCTGTCTCCATCCCCTCTGTCACCTACATCAGGCATTTCTCCCAATGTTATCCCTCCCCAACCTCCCCACCCTCTGCTGTCCCTCTGCTAGCCCCCCAATCCCAACAGACCCCAGTGTGTGATGTTCCCCTCCCTATTGGGCACTATTCACAAACAATATGATTATTCAATAAAAAGCAAGATAATGTGCAAATAAATTTTTAGAATAAGAGAATTCAACATGGTTTGAGGATACAAGTATAATTTATAAAAATCAACACCTACTTAGGTGCTCTCATTGTTCAACACTCACCTATGAGTGAGAACATGTGGTGTTTGGTTTTCTGTTCTTGTGTCAGTTTGCTGAGAATGATGGTTTCCAGCTTCATCCATGTCCCTACAAAGGACATGAACGCATCCTTTTTTATGGCTGCATAGTATTCCATGGTGTATATGTAGCACATTTTCATTGTCCAGTCTACCATTAATGGGCATTTGGGTTGGTTCCAGGTCTTTGCTATTGTAAACAGTGCCACAATGAACATACATGAGCATGTAGACACTGTCTTTTTAAAACCATGAACACAATGATATCTGTTATCACTACTTCTATTCAACATTGATCTTAAGCATTTCAATAATAAAATATACTATATATAAATTATGCATATTGAGACAGAAGACTTAAAACTGCCAATTCACAAACAATATGATTATTCAATAAAAAGCAAGAGAATGTGCAAATAAATTTTTAGAATAAGATAATTCAAGATGGTTTGAGGATACAAGTGTAACTTATAAAAATCAATTATATTTCTATACACTAGCTAGACAAGTTAGAATATATTATTTTTAAATGTATTTTACAATAGCAATAAAAATATAAGAATAGCTAATAATTATCTAAAAATGTGTGCAAGTTGTTTATAGAGACAATAATAAAACCTACATAAAAGGAGAGATATACCATGTTCATGATATTAAAAAAATAATAAAGATGTTAAGATTTTCCACAATTATTCAGATCGCAATTCCTTGCCAAATTACTGGCAAGTGTTTTTCCCCCGGACCTTGACAAGAAGATCGTAAAATTCATGTGAGAGTGTAAAGTGCCAAGAGTGATCAAGGCAATTTTGATAAAATATCAAAAGGAAAAGAGGACTAAATGATGGTGAAATTTTTTTATCCACAGAGGAGGGAAATAGGGTTGAACTTCTAACACTATACACAATGTTAAATTCCCAGTAAATTAAAACCAAAATGTAAAATGCAAAAGGATTAGAAAACTTTAAAATTAGAAAAAGTTTAAAAAAACAGTCTAACAAGTCATTTTTACACATTCAAATTTTCCAGTCATCCCAGCACAGCTGTCAAATACCAAATGAATGGTAAAGTACCAGAACGATGAAAGAAGTGGAAGAATTATACCACTCGTAGGACTGCTTACAAAGCAGCTGCCCTCCTAGACATGCTTCTATTCTTACTCTTTGAATGAATAAGATTGTATTTTTTACTGTTTATATGTGAACATTTGCATGTTAATGATGCACATATGGTTATATTCTAAGCATTCCTTTGTTTTTATTTAATGTAACAATTTAATGACAAATGCAAAAAATATAAACATAAAACATTTATGAGATGTATATCATACATGATTAACTCATTATAAAAAAAGCATAAAACACTAGCATATCCATAAAAGAACATGCCACTCAGATTTGCTAGCCTTAAATAAACAAAGGTAGGTTGGCTGGGTGTGGTGGCTCACACCTGTAACGCCAGCAGTTTGGGAAGCTGAGGAGGGTGCATCACAAGGTCAGGAGTTCAAGACCAGCCTGACCAATATGGTGAAATCCCATATCTACTAAAAATGCAAAAATTAGCTGGATGTGGTGGCGGGTGCCTGTGATCCCAACTACTTCCGAGGCTGAGGCAGATAATTGCTTAAACACGGGAGGCGGAGGTTGCAGTGAGCTGAGATCATGCCACTTCAACCTGGGTGACAGGGCAAGACTCCGTCTCATAACAAACAAACAAACAAACAAACAAAAAAGATAGGTTATCTAAAATTAAATGTAAATCAATAGATTAATATTGCTTTAATAAATACAACAAGTACAGACTTAATTATAATGAAATTTAAAATGCTAAAACTAATTCTTGAAAGTTATATTACAAATTGAATAAGATTTCAGGTAAAATATTGACAAATAATACTTGGACTTAATCCTTATTATTCTTCCCTTAAACATATCCAGAAATGTTGTAGCATAGGGAGCTGTCTGATATAAGTTCCACAGAAAGAGTTTTTTCCATCAAAATGTATTTTTCCAAGAAATAATCTCCAAAAATCAATTACATATTAACAATAGAGTCTATCTCCTTCACTCTATAAAGATTCTAGTTAAAGTAATGTGAATTACATTTGAAGGACATCAAGGTGTAGATTTACAATATTGTGTAAATCTGCATGGAAACATTACATAGTTGAATCCTATGTAAAATTATAGGGTGAAAATTGTTTTCTATTCTTTCCATGGACTCCCTTAGTGGTCTTCAGATTACATGACCTATAGGGGCCATTTCAAGTCTAAAATTCTATGTGATTTTTGCTGAAGATAATTTTTCCCTCAGTTATTTTATAATGCATCATCTCCTTTAGCAACCTTCTTTGAATTGAATTTTGATTAGTTAAATTCTTCAAGCAAGGCAAACTTTTTCAAAAGAGAAGCTATATAGACATAGTTTAAAATTTTTAAGTTTAAATTTTAAACTATGTCTATATACTTTGTAACGATGATTGCCAAAGTTTTACTTTTCAAAAATGTTCCCAAAGGAATTGACAGCTTACGTACCATGAAACAAGGGTAAAGAGAATTATATGGCCATTACAAGATACGCAGACTTGGATGGTTGATTCTGAATGCAAATATACTACTATACTTCGTTAATAAGGATCATTTTTTATCACATTGCCCTAAATTGGAATGCGATGGCATGATCTGGGGATTGACAGTGTTTGGTTAAAAAGAAATTAACTTGAGGAATTAATTAAGACAGGGAAATATAAAAAGCATGTAAAAGGTAAGTGAGTTTATTTTTAAACTGGATACTATTTTTTTAAATACAAAGCAACTCTTTCAGGGGAACTGCTCTCTCCAATTTATGCATAGATTATTTGACAGACTGGTTGAAATATCCCACACCACTTTTGCACAGTGGAAATGCAAAACCAAAGAATTCATATTTTCAAGACGGTTAACACCTTCTCAAATTTCTATAATTCATTCAATTTCTGTAGAAAAACATGGGCTTTATTTTTCTTACTATTAATTATTTATATAGTTCAGTTTCACAAATAGGTTCTCAATATCTAAAAGCCTGCAATAATTTCACTGTCAAAAACATTTTCTTAAGGGTTTTTTTTTTGTTTTTGTTTTTTGCATTTACTAGTGTTGTCACAATAACGCCTCATATGGCTGTGAATTGTCCTTGGGCTTTTAATATTCACAGTCAGGAGAGGCTCTCTTCTTTTTCTAGCAAGCTTTTTATTTCCTTCCTTCCTTCCTTCCTTCCTTCCTTCCTTCCTTCCTTCCTTCCTTCCTTCTTTCCTTCCTCCCTTCCTTCCCTCCCTCCCTCCTTCCTTTCTTACTTTCTTTCTCTCTCTCTTTCTTTCCTTCTTTCTTTTTTGACAGAGTCTCACCTCCTTGCTCTGTTGCCAGCCAGTAGTGGAATGGCACAATCTCGACTCGCTGCAACCTCTGCCTCCCAGGTTCAAGCTATTCTCCTGCCTCAGTCTCCCAAGTAGCTCAGATAACAGGCCCCTACCACCATGCTTGGCTACATTTTTGTATTTTAAGTAGAGATGGGGTTTCACTATGTTGGCTAGGCTGGCCTGGAACTCCTGACCTTGTGATCCACCTGCCTTGGCCTCCCAAAGTGCTGGATTACAGGCGTGACCCACAGTGCCTGGCCTACTTTTCTTAAAGAAAGATTATGTCAGTTTCTAAGTCTGTGGCACCATGAAAATTTACATGCCTGTTAATGGTGGACATTCACACTGTATTTTTAGATGATAGTAAGAAAAGCAGATGATGGTGGAAGTTCATACATGGTCAAATATTAGAAAATAATAATTCCACTAAGGAAAATAAGGCTAAGACCATAATAAAGACGAATTAATCAAAGAAAGTCCCCATTCTGTCTTCCATTTTTGTTTGCGTTTTAACTTAGCATGCATTGGTAAAAGAGGATATTCTTGAAAGAAAAAAGGTAAAATTACCACTTCTTTCTGCTTTTAAGTATTTTAATTATTATATAGTGGTATACATCACTAGTCTAAAGGAGTAAAGTACAAATTTTTTGTCATCATATTATTTCTTCAAAAACGTGGTTCCTTCAAGTTGGTCAAAGTTTAGTGGAGAAGAAAGGGCTGTAAACCAAGTACAGTGTGATACTATACAGTGACTCACACTGTATAAATGCATACTGATGCATTTTTGCCCAAGACTAGTATCTTTCAGAGTTCAGGCATGCGTGTATAAGCCAATGGGAATTTACATGGTTCTTTTCCTAACTATGTATTTTTAAAAATATTTCTTATAACCTATAGATGATTTATTGAAACTAACTCAGTTTAGTGTTAAATTATATTAAATGTCTTTTTCTTATTTGTCTGCAGTAAAAATTCCCTAGTTATTGAGACAAACTATAAAAGAAATAATACATTTTAGAGAATCCTAGAAAAGCTGCCAGTCACCTGGGTGACTATTCAGTCATTCATTCATTCAACTAATATTTATTTAGTAGATCTACCATATGCTAACAGCACCAGGCACTAAAGATACAGCTATGAAACAGAAAAACATAGTTCCTATTCTCATAAAACCCAAAGTCATCAATATGTCAAAAAATTTTGGCTAAAACATGGAGATTATGTAAATTCTTACATAGTTAAATAATACAGCTGTTGTTGGAATCATCATCACACTTAGACACATTATATAGTAAAATTTAAGACTATGAAAGACAAATTTATAAAAGCTTCCAGAAATTTATAAAAAATTTATATATAAATTTATATAAAACAAATTTATGAAAGAAAGAAACAGATCATTTACAAATGAAGAGGTAACATATTCATTTTAGACACTTCAAAAACTTCTGCAAAAGGCAACTAGGTTGCGTTTTTTAGTATTAGAGAAAAAAATCTTTGAAGCTAGAATCTTGCACTTGTCCAGATTGGCATTTAAATATGAAAAGTGCAATAGAAATAATCTTGGCCATATAAAACCTCACAAAGATTGCCACACAAACACCCTATTGAAAAAAACCCTTGGCTACAATAATAGTAGGAGACGTTAATACCACACTCTCAATAGTGAATATTATGAG